TCTCGTATCAATCTCGTATGTATGCATCTCGTAAGCCATATCCTCTATGAGTTGTGCCTTTCGTATCTATGATAACTCTTGCCTTTTCGTATGTATCTGTTACGTTCTTATGGTTTAATTACCCAAGTTTGAGGATTTCTCTGCTTGACGCAATAAAGCTCTGGTATTCGATCGTCTAGCTGTAGTTGTGGCAAGACTATAGTGACGAAGAACTTAAACGACTATACTAGATATAACGGCTAGAGTATCGGTATAGTTAATATATGTTCTGCGTGAAGTCGTGGAAGTGGTATGGAGAGTGGAGATTGTCTTCTCCATTCTAATGAATTTTGAAGGGGATTGCTCTTACAAGGCCAAAATACGTTCAGTATTTGGAGACTGTGGAAGACCACTCCGACGAGCTTCGTCGAAATCTTTTTAGATGAAGCGATCTTGCCATTTGATGTAGGTGACAAGGAGGGTGCACTGCTGCTCATCAATCACCATGTCTCTCTCATTCCAAGCCTGAGTGCCAGAGGGATCAGCTACGAGTGATGAAGCAGAAGGCTTTGGTAGTCTTGTCGATCGCACATGTTTTATTCGGTCCATGATTACCTCCAACAACTTGAATACCTATCGGCTGTAATATTGTTTTACCAACAATGCCTTTTCCCTGCTATAGAGTTTATAGTCCTGCTTTGAAGCGTTTGGGAGATTCATGCTTTCACATTTGAAAAGCATAATTTTCTCAAAACTTTCCGAACACTCTAACATGGGTGAATATTCGGTTGGGGGGGGGCACCCTACTAGTCTCAGTGTTAACGTGTTACTCAAGGTCAATGCACAGGATTTTACCAGTTAGTCCACGCAATACTTGAAAGTGTTACTGTGTGTTATACCAAAATTAACAACTCAAATCAGTTCTGCTCTATTGTACTCCATTTTTTTATTTCATTTCTTTCATGAGTTTAGCATCCCATCATCAGCATCCGCTGCTCCTCGCCTTCCGATACTTGGGTGAAAGTTCACATTTCCCCAGCTGGAAGTAAAATGTAAAAAAATAGGCTACAATGCAATTCAACTCACATGGAAATTTTCGACAAACGGGATACTTTATGGCGATAAGCCCCCTATTGAGTCTCGCCTCGCCCAGCCTCGCTATTGAACTGACATCTTCATAAGACTTCAAAGAAATGGTCGTCCCACAAATCCTTTTTCAGCCCATGGCACGGACCAAACTCGCTTTCAAATGATCACGGAAGTTTTCTAAGCGCTGTGCATGCCTTTCTGCGCTGATAAGCTATCCTGTCGTGAGGGCCACAAAGTTTTCGCAGTGGTTGACAGTTTCATACTGATGACCCAAGTTGGTCAGGTTGTTATAACCTCTCCACTTGTCTGTGCGGATGACCCCTCCAGGTAGGACGTATTTCTGGATTATATTTAGCATTCAGTGATGCAGAGCTGCCATCGTCCGTAATCACCACAAACACTAGTTTTGTCCCATCCTGGATACCTCCGACGAGCCAGTCCTTGAGGACCATCTGGTAGACGTTATATTTCGTCGAACAATGCTCGTCTCGTCGACCTGCACCACCGTATAGGGTCTTCCTATTCTTTCACATTGTTGGTGAAATAATCAACCAGCACGTCACGGAACCACTGCCTCCACTGAATGATGCTCCTCTCACCTCCAACGTCCGCGCCATCTCCTTCACAGTTCCGAGATTGTAGGAGAAGGGGTAGCTCGCCAGGAAGACCTTCTTGTGATCGCCATCATGCTATCTTTATCCTAAGAGGTATCCTTCAATCATCCGACCTTATGAGAATCCCTGCTTGACGGCATGGCCGTCTGCAAGACACAAACTTCCAGCGCACGCATTCCTCGTCCTTGAGCCTTGCTTCGCCAGCCTGCATGGATTCCTACAGTTCAGGCAAGATCATGTCTTTTACAGTAGACCACAATCCACCGACGACTCTTAAAATTCCTCCTTCGACTAAATACAAGCGCCGGCCACGTGGTATTAAGGTGAAAGCCCGAAGGCAGAGTGGTCGATCAACCATAGTCGCGGGTTGAATTAAAAAGTAATCCAAGTATCGGTATTAAGCTAGTGTAGTAAAGTGACGACGTGTTGCCTCAGGTCAAAGCACGTGCACTTGGTAGAATGGTACTTGGTTCACGTGTTTTGACATGAGGCAATACGTCATCACTTCACAACACTAATTGCTTTAGCTCTTTTGACTTGAAGTAACACGTCAACGTTAACATTTAAAGACGCTGAGGGTGGCCACTCTTCTCCAATTACATTTTCATCCTCATATGTAAATGATCTACTAATGAACACCATACTTTTAGAAGTTTTATTACGGGAAAGAAATGAATAAAATGAGCGCACGCCACCACAGCACTGGCTACAAGAAAATGACAAGGTTGGAAAAGGAAAAGGAGGGAATGTCGCTGGAAAGCCATTTGTATGGCTTATCGTATTCCATTACACGTCGCATTTGCGCTACACAAATAGAAAAGTGAGAGGGAGAGGTCTTAACTGCCTTAAATCCGAAAAGAAGATACTGACAAGACAATTAAGTCAGGAGCGTGGTCCAAAATGTGAATAACCCGAAAAATACAAGTATGAACTCATAGTTGTGGTGAAAATGGGGATTAGGGGGGTATTGAATACCTCTCGTCGCGTATGGTCGCAAAATAGTAAAGTAAGCTCATCGAATCCGTAAGCTCAACAGAAATCTGCTTGCATAGCGACAATGTACTAGGAAGATACAACATAGCAATTGCTGATATGCGATATTTCTCAACAGAATAACAAATTCCATGATTACTACAACAACATAGTCAAAGGCGAGCAGTACTACCGACCGGGTCCAGAAATTCTCTTCAGAGCAGTACATAATCGCACAAAAAGCTCATATGTCAGAGACTAACAAAATAAAATATTCTGATCGCTCAATAATACTAAAAAATAATATGAATACAGTAGGGAACAAATTTCACAGACTATTTCCAATAGCATAAAAATGCAGAACACAGGAGTTTTGAAGGGTTGATGATGGTTTAACAGTAGGCCAATTTATGGCACATAAAATACTAGACGAGAGCTAAACTTGACAAAGGACATGGAGCGAATGCATTATGAGCGGTACGAATCGTCACTTTACCATCATGTAGCGAATCGGGTTGAGCGAATACCACCTAAAATCGGATTTTTGTACTACAGTATAGCAGAAAATGGCTTAAAGTAATTGGCAAGGAAAGCTTTTGAAAAAATTTTGAACGGTAGTCCAGGTGGACGAGTGGAAGGAGGCTTCGGTGCGGTCCAACTCATTTCAGGCCCTGTTTCATTACCTCTTTTCAATTATCATGAGTGAGTTTGGAGGGGGAAAACGTAAGTGATCAAGTCTTATAAAAGAAAGGTGGATCTCAAATCAGTGTTCCTGCATAAACAAGCTACAATACAGGGTGACCCACATGAAGTGTGACGCAGAAAACTAGCATCAAAATTATACAGATCAAACCAAATAGGTAACTATTACTCCTATACAATCATCACAAAATTGTAAACAACATATCACATCTCGCATGCGGAATGACCATCTTTCGTTTTAATGCAAACATCCAACCTCATTCGGATGTTTTCAAGAATGCGCGCAATCACTTTCAACCCACGCTTCTACAAGAGAACTTTCTATTAGAGGTTCTATAGACCTCTGTTTGGAAGCGCAGGCTTTTTGCTCCAGAATCGACCATACACCAAAATCCAAAGGATTAAGATCGGGGAATTCGAAGGTCAAAACTGCTTTGCCCCAAAAACCCGGAAGCGTGGTTTCACAACATTGCAGCATCTTCTTTGCGCTATGGGCTGGTGCCCAATCCTGCGGAAGGTTTAGCTGACGTTTATCGCGTTCCTTTCCCGCCAAGCGATCACCGCTTCGTCCAGCCTAGAAGCCCATAAGTTGATCTTTTTATTGCCCGTCACACTTCATGTGGGTCACCCTGTAGTCCTACTGTATTCCCTCTCCAACAGTGAGGCAGGGTCAGAGTTCGGAACAACCTTCTCGAATGACTGAGTTTCAGGCCAATCGTTCGAATCAACTAAAGGTCTTCACTGAGCCAACTTGGAAAACTCTGACTTCTTAAGTTTCGTTCGAAAAGCCCAGTATATAAGCACTTAGAAGCAAAAGTTTTATCAGGGTGTTTTCACCCAAAAAAAGCAGTAAAGCAATTACCCTCTGAAGAGAAATGTAGGAGCAAAAAAGGAGTACATTCCCAAAAATCAAACTTATTAGAAATACTATGCAACAGGGTGAACCGAAGTAGCCAAGACGAGAAAAGAAAGCAACAACGAATCAATGACAATCCCGCCGCTCCCAGACTTGGCGTACCTCAGAAACGAGATTCAAACAAGAAGGCGAATGAACTTATTTTGCTCATAGGGTGGTATTAAGCTCAAATAGACGGAACCCTTAATTTCAAAGGTAATGCTCTGAATGACGCGAAAAAGAGTTTTTCTCTGAATTATACTTCTCAAAGGTTACAACCAAAGTTGTAGGGAAGTACGCAGAGGTCACGAACATGGCTGTTAAGTTTGATGTAGGTACCCCAAAGCATGAACCGACTGGTTCTCGACAGAATTGAAAGCTTTTCCAACATACTTCTTCCGGACTGTTATTGGTAAGTCCATTAGAGCCCTTTTCACGCCCACTTAAAGCTTCATATGAGTCTCACCTGATCCCTATAAAGTCGGAGCTTGATTTCTGGCACAGCGACGTTCTGCAGAAGTTTCATTGCTTGCTCACCGGGTAGCATCATAGCTACGCACGTTGCCGGGAACGAGAGTAGCCTTTCCGTCCTTAAAGAAGGTTTTTCAATTGTAACAATGTTTGTTACAACAATTATGAGAGCAATATCGATTAGAGCTCTAACAAGGGAGCTCTGTTCTGGATGCCTAATTTCTCATTCAATTGATTATCAAGACATCGGTAACGAAAGCAGGTTTTGTGCTGTGATCATTTTCAACTATCGCGTGCGCCATACATTAAGCAGGGCATTGCCCAGACAACCCGAAAATGTTCCACGAAAATGGTGCTGTAGGCGAGTCCTAGGAAGTTATCAAGAAGTATTAGAAACATATAATAAGTCGAGCTTCGATGTGCTGCCCTTCACACCTGCCCTAGGTTTCAAAGACTTTGACTACGCCGATCATGTTGCCATAGTGAAAACACTCTGGGCATTCCAATACATACAAGCAGGTAGAGGGGAAAATAGTGCGTTTCGAGCTACAAGTAAGGGATCGACGGCCTGGGTAGTTGCTGCCGCAGGTCGAGTTATGTTTGTTTATCAAACCGGTAAGGTCTTCCGAGACCTTGAACGAGTCCTAGGCTAGGCAATAGAGGTGCGAGCTCATTTCTCCACGGAAACCTTGAACGGAATGAGCAGTATCCACTACACTAATGGGAGAAGGGTCCACTAGGTTTGACATGAATCCGTGACATGGACGAATGAAAGTGTTACAGGCGATCGCTGGAGCAAATCGAAGATGAGCGGGAAGGCAGATGATACAGGTGTGTAATAGCTAAAGGAGGTAAAGATGGAGAAGATGGAAGGTGAAAATTGAAGGGCTCGTTATGATACCTAAACATTTACTCTTCTGGAGACATCCCATGCGGCTATATTCTTGGAAATATCCCCATTTTATAAGTGAAATCCCACCAAACAAATAGAGTTCGGATCGCAATATCAAAAAGCATTACCTATCGTGTTCTCGGAAGCCATGAAGCCAATCTGGGTCGCCATTATCAACAACATGTACCCGTTCACCAAGAACTAGTGGGGCAGCACCACTTGGAGGCGCGTACTCATGAATCACTATGTAGCCGCCAGCTAGATCTGGAAATAAAAAATTTTGCATTCTATTCAGTTTGTTGTAGAAGTAGTCTTCTATGAATTTCTTGCTACTACGGTTGTACGGACACTTACTTGCTGAAGCACTCCCACGTCTGCTGTTACCGTTGCATGGTGAGCAACTGCGATCCCAGTCCGATAAATCTGATGAGCCGGTTTTGCCACGAAGATGGCCACCCATCATTTTTGATCCTAAATTATTTACAATACATATTCTCAGAGAAAAATATCAGAGGGACAAACAAATCAATATTTCTCGATTCGGAGTCTGATCCTGGACCCTGTGCATGCGATAATTCGCCACTTGGCACTACACCGCCTGCTCTTGAAGACACGGGATATGAAGAGCAACCATTCATTATCAGCCCATGTCTTGATAAAAGGTGAAAGGAAATTACCCGTACAGCTGGGATGTATGGCGTGTAACATGAACTTAACTGTGAAAGAGTTATTTTCAAGGACACTGAGGCTCTCAATCGCTCTGCTCATCCTCTTAACACTTTTTCTACTGGATGCAAAGCAAACGGAGTGCAAGATGAGGATCATGCGAAGGATTAGGCAAGTGAGCAGTAATCATGCCACTGCCACTGCCACTTATACCTCACTGTTACACGCGAGAGTACCCGCACATTTGTCTGCCCAAGTACTTGGTACACATCTACCATTCAATGGACTGTCTAACAAAAATGCATTGTGCTGTTCTCAAATTTCGGAAATGATTGTTTGTTAGTACTGTATGAGGGATCAACCTTCGAATTGGGGATGTGACTAGTTATTCGTCATTTCTGCATAGTGCTGACAACGCAATACTGTTTTCTATTTCCGCATTATTGCACTCATGTACTCTAGATATATCCACCTATTCATATATCTATCTAACCCACTTCCCACGAGGCTGCTCAGGGAAAGAACAGTTGAATCAGTCAAGGTCAGCGACTTCACTGAAGTTCAGCCTTTGTCACTCGCTCAGTGAAGCTGTTTTCATCCGAAATGATAGAAAGTGCGGCTGAGGAGTTGTTATACGATGTACCACAGCTGGCATTGTCACGCTCAGATGTTTGGGACCAAGAGGGGCATTTTCCCAATTTAATTAATGGGAACATTGCGAAAATAAAGATAACCTCTACTGAGAATTGTTACTCATTGGCTTCCGGAAACCACTTTCCACTTCTGCTATACGCCTATTTAACCTGTGTTCCCATCTATGACCGAGGTATATGTTAAAGATGACCAGGCCTGAAAAATGCTGCTCCCAAGTACCAGCTTTCGAAACTCAGAGTTCCAATGGCTTTTTCCCGGACGCCAACTCTAATTTAATATAAATCCTAAATTATTATCTGAAATTGCAAAATTTTCAGAATCTCTCGTAACATTCTCGTTCTATGACCCAGACAATCTGGCGTAGGCCTACTTCAGCGAGGAAAAAACATTCGAGGATTAGATGAAGATGGAAAGAAGCGCTAATGAAATCTGATAGCAGCTATAGAACGGAGGCGCGATTAAACGATGAAAGCAACCAGCTACTGCCATCGTTGGACTCCGTAACGACTAAAACAAACGAACTCATTGGACTTCGAGTTGCAGCGTTGATTCTTGGCGGCATTTCTTGACAATCCAGAGAAAGCGATTTCATTTGCGTTGACAGCTTCGGAGCTCGTCTTCGACCAGTTGATCTGCCTGAACAAACAGATTCTTTTTCGCCTATTCTGAATATACAATTGAGAAATAGTGATATAGATGGCAGCAAGATGATGTACGTATGGTAGCCTAGTCTATTTAGCATGCGCCGTGCATGTTCATCACCATTCAGTGCCGCATACTAATTGAAACATGCAAGTGAACTTTGCATCTAGTCTGAAGACAACAACTGAGCTTTTTGTTGAACAGGAAACAGCTCTGTTAACAAATGACTGGTAACGATAGCAGCGATAATTTGTTTAACTTTTTTCTGTGCATTTGGTTGCATGCAATCCACCATCAATTCAGGGAACAAATCGAAAATTCAAGTTTTCTAAGAAATATTTACAGTTTTTACTTGATGGTGAAGCCATAAGTTTGAAAAGGGCAAAGTCGTTGGGCGTTATTCAATGCCGTCTCTATGGTAGGCACTGCATTCCACTTCCACTCGGAATTATAGCGTCTTGAATGCGTAGGTGGCCCACATAAGTACCTAAGGTGATCAGCCTGTATACCAGTTAGTGCTTTCATCCCTTCATACGAGTCCAGTA